GAAGGAATTTGTGTGTTCCCGATTTAACTCTTTTTGAAAAAAAGGAAACGAGGGAAAAATCTCTCCTCCATAGATTCAACTTCCTCATTTTTCCCTCATTTAGCTACATTTTCATTTGAATTTTAAATCTCTGGACTTCATTTTTGGGTTTTAGACTGATTTTGAAACAAAAACTGGCAAATTAAAGTTGTTTTTTTCACTGGCAAAATCGATTCAAAATTGAGTTTTCATCGACAAAAACAGATGATGCTTTTTCTTAGCGAAAAGCTAAGATTTAGATCTTTTGGCCTTTTTCTTGAGACCAGATTCTTTTCTTTCAATGATTTCAATGAACCTTTACACAGCAAAATCTCTTATTGCATTTTGTCTAATTTATAAATTTTCTAGAGGAAATGTGCAACTTCTTAATTAGATCTTTCTTCTATCATTGCTCCAGATCTTTCTTCTATCATTGCTCCAGATCTTTCTTCTATCATTGCTCCAGATCTTTCTTCTATCATTGCTCCAGATCTTTCTTCTATCATTGCTCCAGATCTTTCTTCTATCATTGCTCCAGATCTTTCTTCTATCATTGCTCCAGATCTTTCTTCTATCATTGCTCCAGATCTTTCCCTCAAAACGAGTAAAACAAAAGGTTAAAAAAATTCAAATCGTAGAACTCAACAATTAAAACGATAACTTTTTTAAGTTGCCATCCAGCTAGCATCAAAAATATTCTTTCAGCGAAATTCTTCTACTAGAAAAAAAAGTTATTTCAATGAACTTTTACACAGCTACGAAATATTTTTTTTGTTGGCTTTTTGCGCTTTGAGTGTTGTACCAATGTTGATCTTTGTTTTCCAGATGAGTTTACAAGAAAAAGAGCTTCGAGCTTTCATCGGCTATTGTTGGAAACGGAAACTTTCAATAAGAGATGCCGTGAAAGAGATTTGCGATGCTGAAGGTGAAGGAACTGTAAGCCAATCAAGAAGCTTGAAGATGGTACAGGTGCTTCGACACGAGGCTTGAAGACTTACCGCGTTTCGGTCAACCACCAAAAGTTGGATGATGGTGACTTTTGAAATCATTTGAAGAAATTGAAGAAGCTTGTCAAGAGTCAAGAGAAACGGAAGGAGTTCGACTTCGAACCGAAAGCTTCGATAAGATCCGAAAGCTTTGATAAGATCCGAAAGCTTCAACCAGATCCAAAACCTTCAGCCAGATCCAAAAGCTTCGACCAGATCCAAAAGCTTCGATAAGATCCAAAAGCTTCAACCAGATCCGAAAGCTTCGAACAGAGCCGAAAGCTTCGATAAGCTCCGAAAGCTTCAACCAGATCCAAAAGCTTCAACCAGATCCGAAAGCTTCGACCAGAACTAAAAGCTTCAACCAGATCTAAAAGCTTGCAGATCGATGGCAGAAAGTCGTAGATAATCATGGGTTATACTTTCTGGAATAGTTGCTGTTATTTTTGTTATTAAAGTGCGCATAGAAATTTGAATTTTTCGCAGCTGAGTCAGGATTTTTTTTCTCAACCTAGTACTTCTGTTTAAAACCAACAAATTCACGAATTGAAATACGGTTTTTTCCATTAAAATGAAAAAGGTTTTCTTCATTAAAAAAACCAACAAATTGACTTAAAAAGATGGGAAATTTAACAATAAACACTTTTTATTTAAAGCAAACCTGGGTATGAATTTATGATTTTGATTTATGATTCAACGAAAGAAGAAAATGAACGAAAAGATTCTTTAAAGGGGAATTCCAGGGATTCGAACATTCGAAGCCAGGGATTCGAACATTCGAATGAATTTAACTAGTTGACCGATCTTTCAGCCCAGAAACCAGACACTGACAGCTTTACTAAAGACCAGCAAAGTTTCGAACTGCCAGAAGGCGGCTTTGGTTTTTGTTTTGCCTTGTGTAGCCTAGATAAAGGGCCCTAGAGCTCGATTGGATTGAGTCTCACTTTTTTCATTTTGAGTAAAATCGTCCACAAGCTGTTAAAAGCTATTCGATAAGCGCGTAAATCTATCTAAAGCCTAAAAAAAACCAAAAGCAGGAAGTAAACCAAAAAAGAGTGAAGCGTAATTTCTCGAAAAAATGACACGTACACCTTAGTAGTTTTTTAGAGAAATTGAAAGGTAACTGAGCATGAATTTAACTATTAGGTTGATGCAAAAGTCTTTTTCATTTTTTTCGTACTTCCGTTAAAAAGTAACAAATGCACCAATTGAACAACGGTTTATTGCATTCGAAAGGCCAATTATTTTTCTGCAAAATGACATTAAAACGAGTTTAAAATGTCTTATGTCTAGATTTTTTTGTGAGCCTGAAGTCGGGTAGTCAAAAAAGGCGACGGCTCGATGATGCATTTTAGACGCTTTAGCTAAGGAAACCAATCTTGATGTTAATAAATAAAAGATAGAGCACAAAAAGTTAGATCTTTTTTCAGATTTTCAGAGAAATTGATTCAGCCAATTTCTTTATAGAGGTTTTTATAGATTTTTATGAAAAACCCGTTTTCACTCTCGAATTTGCTTGAAAGTGAACCCAAATTGACTTAAAAAGATGGGAAATTCAACAATAAACACTTTTCATTTAGAGCAAACCATAGGTTAATTCATGACTTTGTTATTTTTCAAAAGAAGTACGAAAAAAATGAAAAAGACTTTTGCATCAACCTAATAGTTGACCGATCTTTTAGCCCAGAAACCAGACAATGACAGCTTTACTAAAGACCAGCTACTAAAGACTAAAGTTTCGAAATGCCAGAAGCCGGCTTTGGTTTTTGTTTTGCCTTGTGTAGCCTAGATAAAGGGCCCTAGAGCTCGATTGGATTGAGTAATCAAGCTTATCGTTTTACCATTACTAGAAGTGAATGTAGAAGTAACTCTTATTCTAAAAAAACTAACTTTACCTTTTAACAAATGTTTTGAATGTTTTTTTCAAGCTTTTTTACCCTAAAATTTGTACTGATCACAGATCAAATCCGGCAATTTTCTCCTTTTTCCTTTCTTGGGCTTTTTTTTGGGCTTTTTCTTCAAATCGAATCCTTTTTCGAAGTGAAAAGACGGCAAGTGGCAAATTGTAAAACGGGAAATTGACTTTAAATCTTGAAATTCAAGAAAATCAAGAAAATCAAGAAATTTCATTCGAAACAAACGAAATTCAGCCAAGAATTTGGCAACCAGTTTTCAAAATTCAATCACCTTTCGTCACTTAACCTCGAAATTTCCCCCATTTTCTCTCAAAAACCACTCAATTCGTTAGCTGATTTAAATTTCCGGTTTGATTGACTGTTCTTTACTCAAAAACATCTCAAATCTAAATGAATTAAACAGTGTTTTTTTTGGGTTGATCTTTGTGAAAATAAAGTTATTTCTTTTCTACTTTTTCTTTTCTTTTTCTTTTCTTTTTCTTTTCTTTTTCTTTTCTTTTCTTTTCTTTTCTTTTTTTTCTTTTCTTTTTCTTTTTCTTCCTTCATTTCTTGATTATTCAAGGATTCAATTGACTCTTTGACTTAGGTTTTATGACTTGAAAAAGTTTTCTGTCAACCAATTAATGCTTAACTTGAAGCTTGACTGACTTGTGATCTAGCCAGTTGAGTAAGGTTTAGCTTTTATTCTAGAATTTTCTGAAGGTCCTTGTTCTGGAGGATTTGTTCTGACGGTCAAAGCCAAGCCAAACGATATTCGGTTTGGCTTTTAGTTGGGTCAGCACTTTCTAAATCTTTATTTCCTAAGGCCAAATCAGTCAATAGTTTAGATCTTATTCTATTAACTTTATTTTGCTATCTAGAGCTGCTGTGCGCTCCAGATTGGTGAATTCGGGGGATTTCAAAACTTCTTAATCAGCCATAAGGTAGGAAGCGGTGGGGACAAGTTAGGTACTGTAGTCAAATCAGTTAGATCCTATTCTATTAACTTTATTTTGCTATCTAGAGCTGCTGTGCGCTCCAGATTGGTGAATTCGGGGGATTTCAAAACTTCTTGACCAGCCATAAGGTAGAAAGCGGCGGGAACACGTACTGTAATCAAAATCAGTCAAATCAGTCGAATCCCGACTTTTCTGAAACTAATGCTCCCTGTGCCTTCCAGATCGACAAATTTTAAAACGAGCAATTCGTCTTTTCATTTAAACAAGGGTTAACTAATCGATTTCAGAAGTCAGTGTTGGCTTGACTAGGCCTAGACGTCAGACAACCGTCAGACTTGTCCTAGGCCTGTTTCAGTGATTCTAGGACTCAATTCCCATTGGATCCTTTTTGCTTTACCATTCCTTTCTTTATATTTCATTAGTCAAGTGTACTTGTAACAAGCAAGCTTTCCCGTTTTTTTGTGAAAATTCTTAAAATTTCAACTTTAAATGATTTTTAGAAGACAAAAACGAACAAATGAAGAGAGCAAGAATATAAATTCTATTATATTACTTACAAAAATGGTGCACGATTTGTTGCTGATGCTTGTGTTGAGTTGCCCGTCGGTGCTTGGAGATCAACACATTGTTGAGGTAAATCGGCAATTTATACAAGCAAAAATGGACTTGGATTAGACCTAGAATAAGCTCAGGTTTCTTTCATTGACCTTAACTGAATCGGATTGACCAATACCAGAAGCTTTTATCAGTTAGATCAGAAGCTAGACCCCAGCCTGATCTCTGGCTGGCTTGTGAATGTGATTCGATCAGTCAGACCTGCAAAATAGATCAGAACAAAAGTAAAGTCTGACTTCTGACTGACTCAAGTCCTCCTTATAAATCTGATTCAATCAGTCAGACTTGCTAAATAGATGATAGATCAAAATAGATCAAACCTGTAAGATAGGCCAAAGGTAAAGTCTGACTTTTGGCTGGTTCAAATACTTGATGGATCAACATTTGGCTTCAAGTATCAAGAACAAGCAAACGTTAGAGACTTATTTACATAAAAAATCTATCTTTAGATACAACCAGTCGGTGAGCCAATCGCTGAGGTGTGCGAGTACAATTCGAATCAGCGCAAATCCCTCTTACAAGAGATCATGAATGACTATGATAAGACGGTGGTTCCCTCGAATGAGAGTGTCGTTGTGAGTGTCGAGTTGACGGTGCAGGTGAGAATGGGAAATTTTATGTAAAATGAACAAAAGTTGAGGTGAAAACCAGAATAGAAACTAGATGAGATTCCTAGGGAAAGCATTAGAGTAACCAAGAAAGGGTTTGCGGAAACTTTCTGGAAGAATTTCTGCAGCAAAAGTTGCTCTTTAAGTGCCGCTCTTTAAATCTCTTTAAAAAATTACCCATTCTTTCCACTTTAATTTGATACCTAAGGAAATTGATACCCAAAAAGTCACCGTCAGCCACAGGAGCGCTGCGTAGTCGAAGTTTACACTCAAATAAACGCTCATTTCTCGACACGAGTACGTTTGTTTCTGCGCACTTAGGTATCAAATTAGAGTAGAGAAAATTGGTGATTTTTTGTGATATAACACAGATTTTTTTAGCATTAACCAGTGCTTAGAATTAAATGATTGAAATGACGAGAGCTAGTGCATCGCATTCTACGCAAAATTTCTGAGCAAAACTCCAGGTTTAAAATCAACCCAATGAGTTCTTTAATCCGTGTAAAAACAAAAAAACAAATTGCGTTAAAATAGTGACTTGAAAGTATCCAGTCTAATGGCTAAAGAGACAAATTTTTAGCTCCAAAAAACTTCTCGGTTCAGTTGCGCAATTTGCTGAGAACTTTTGAAATTCTTGTTGTGAGAAAGTCGAAAGGTTTCCGGAATTTATCAAAATTCTACTTTCACCTAGTTTATAAACTCGATTTCTGATGAGATTTAACAATTTTGACAGCTTTTTTTCTAATAGTAAAGCCTCAAAGAGTGAATTTGAATTAAATCTGCATGCAATCAGAAGATTTGGTTCTTTTCCGGAATTGGAATTGGATTGGAATTGTCTAAAAATTAATGGAAAACTTTAGGAAAGGTTAGACAAGGCTAGACAAGGCTAGCCAAAACAGACCCAACAAAATGAATAGCGCCAATCGATTCACCGACCTCGAAAACCCCTGGGTACAAATTTAGGCTGCAATCTCTTCTTTTTATATCATCTAGCAAGCAAAAGTAAACTTCCTTGAAAGTGAGAAGCTTGATGTTCTTTGTGCGATCGCGTAATCGCTCGTCATCTGGCAACCCACCCTGGGATAGGAGCCTTTCAACATTAATTATATCAACCAGTTTTGGGTTCCTATACCGGATGATTTGCCAGATGACAAGCGATTACGCGGCCGCACAAAGAACAACTCATCGCCACTTTTGACAATGATTTGACTCTTTTGCTTTAAGAATGGCTCCCAAATAAGATTTAGTGCTAGGAATTTGTCCCTAAGGTTTTCCGAGTCTGCGAATCGATTGACGAAGTTTATTTGAACCGTTAACAACCAAATTCTCAGGATATCTCGTCGATCTCCGAAATCACTTCCTCATTCATTGCCGACGTCTGGTTTTCACAAGTGTGGACCGATGCGAGACTGGAGTACAAGTAGAAATTTGCATTTAGTTTCATCATTTACATTTAGTTTCATCATTTATACTAGTGGACAATGAAATATGATAATAGGTTGATGCATAAGTCTTTTCGTTTTTTTCGTACTTCTGTTAAAAAGTAACAAATTCACCAATTAATCTATAGTTTGCTCTATAAAAAAAGTGTTTTTTTGTTCAATTTGCATCTTTTTAAATGAATTTCGGTTCACTTTCAAGCAAATTCGAGAGTGAAAAACGCCTTTTTCGTAAAAATCTATAAAAAACTCTACGGAAAAATTGGCTGAATGAATTTCTCTGAAATTTTGGCGAAATATCAAACGTTTTTTTTCTCTATCTTTTATCTATTGACACGAAGATAGGTTTTCTTTAGCTAAGGTGTCTAAACCGCATCATCGAGTTAGCCCCTTTTGACTACCCGACTTCATTTTGACTTTTTGACTACCCGACTCGTTGGGTGAATCCTAGCGAGTTGCCAAAGCCGGATCACTTCGGTTTCTCGAGGGCGCAAGATCACTTGCATACGACTTGATCGCTGGTCAAGGTGTTGTACTCAGTAGAGCAGTATAGCTGCGATCTGCTGAGACTCTGCCTATGATTGGTTGGTTTGTTTAGTCGTTAGCTGTTTCAACGTTTCGCGTTCTTCGCTTCTCTCACGGGTGCTTCGCGTTCTTCGCGCCACGCAAAAACACGCGGAACGTACTAGCCTTACGTACTAGCCCGTACTAGCCAACGTACTAGCCCGTACTAGCCAAACTTTTTTTTCTCTATCTTTTATCTATTGACACGAAGATAGGTTTTCTTTAGCTAAGGTGTCTAAACCGCATCATCGAGTTAGCCCTTTTTGACTACCCGACTTCATACTCTCAAGAAAATCCAGGCATTAAATATTTTTAAACCCGTTTTAATGTTATTTTGCAGAAAAATAATTGCTTTTTCTAATGAAATCAACCGTAGTTTAATTCGTGCATTTGTTGGCTTGAAACGGCAGACGAAAAGGAACAAAAAGACTTATGCATCAACCTAATATTTGAAAAACGATCGTCACCTTCACGCGTCTGTAACTCCCTTGTCTTTACCGTATTTCTAAATATTAATATTACCATTGTGTAGCCCTTGAAAAGAGCTTTCAGAAAATGTATAACACTAATAGTTTAAACGCAAAGACAAGGGAGTTACAGACGCGCGAAAGAGACGATCGCTTTTCAAATATCATATTTCATTGTCCAGTACTGTACATTTAATTGAATCATTTCTAGAAATTTCTCGTGCAAATCCAATCTCTCGTTGGACTCATCGGTGAGCGAAAAACTCTGGACACCGAATGTCTGCTTTGTGAACAGTAAAAAGACCGAAGTGCACAAAAGTCCAGCATCAAATGTTCTTTTGATCATTTACCCGAATGGTGAGTTCTAGATTTCAGCTTTTAATGTTTCAATCATTTTACAGTAACCCTGTCCCTCATTTAGGCACTGTTTGGCTGAATTATCGAGTCCGGGTCGAGGGCCCTTGCCGTTTTCATTTGGCGAATTTTCCTATTGATAATCAGGTGGGGTTTTAGCCGAAAGTTCTGGAAAAGCGCCTTTTCTGGTGCACACATTAATCGCACTGTAAGATAGACGCTAATTGTGAACAATGGAGTGAAAAACGTTAATTGGTTTGGGGCTGGGAATGCAAAAAAGCCAATGCCGGGATTGTGACCTATCGCTTGTCCTAACCCGTGACCTATCGCTTGTCTCAAACGCTTTACCTAATCAGCTATGATATCAAGGTAGTCCTTGTGCCTTATTAGATTCAGTATTTGTATCTTTTGTATGTCATTGACCTTTGTACCGTCATGGCCGAGTGGTTAAGAGTCTTGTTTCATAATCGAGAAGTCACGGGTTCGATCCCAGCGGCGGGAACATTTGGCTCAGTATTCGTATCCTTTTTATGTCACTGATTCTCGTGCTGTCATGGCCGAGTGGTTAAAAGTCTTGTTTCATAATCGAGAAGTCACGGGTTCGATCCCAGCGGCGGGAACATTTGGCTCAGTATTCGCATCTTTTTATGTCGCTGGCCTTTTTGCCGTCATGGCCGGGTGGTTAGAGGTCTCTGTATCATAGTCAAAAGGTCGCGGGTATGATCCCAGTAGCTATTGGGTTGGTGGAAAAGTCCTTTCGGATTTTTTGGGAGAGTACCTTAAATTTGTCCAATTTGGACGTTTTATAGCTCATCCTAAAGCTGAATTCAAGACGGATCGATTGGTAAAAACCGTTTTGAGATATCTCTTTTCTAAAAGTTTTTACAGCTATTTTAGTTAAGGACGGCAGAGCCAAAAAAAATGGCTGTTTTCACGTTTCGTTAGTTTTCCGTGCAGAAACCTAGGCTAAAAACATGTGTTTCGTGATCAGCGTCAAAAATAACCCCTAGACACAAATTTTCAGAATCTCTGGCAAAAAATAACCCAATAGAAAATTTCGCTCTTTTTTAATTTTTTTCTTTGCAAAAGGTATTAAGGCAGTAGAGGTTTTGTATTGAGTTGCGTCTTTGTTTATGTTTCATTATTCAATTTGAATCATTTACTGGCACAAATAATTCTTCAGGAATGCACGCTAATCTTCGAATCGTATTCGTACAATGTGGCCGAAGTGCGATTGAAATGGCAAGAGTGGAGTCCAGTGACAATGCCACCGCCTGATGATTTCCGGTAAAAACCATGAGAATTCTAGATCTTTCAGCTATTAGAGGCAATTTTCTAAAAAAATTAGATAATTTAGATGAACTATCGTAATCAAATAGTCAGCTTTCATTCAATCATCCAAATCTTTGGACCATTCGACGAGGAATCACAAGATTCGGGGTGATTGAATGTAAAATGTTTGGGATTACGATAGTTTATCTAAATTAGATGCCTTAGTTTATCTAAATTAGATGCCTGAAAGATTTTAGTGTTACAATTTTTTTGATTATTTTTCTTGATTACATCCAGCGGTCCCCTCAATGCCATTGTGCCCGGATTGAGGTTTTTTTTCCTTGCGTCTCTTTACCTTTCTTTCTTTTCTCTTTCTGGAAAACTTTACCGTAAATACTGTAATAGTACCCCGCCGCCCTCGTACAGTCGCGTAGTCGCAAAAGTTTTTTAGTATTTCATTTTTTTCAAAGCGCCCGTACTTTCAAAAAATGCGTCTACGCGAAAAATAGCTGAAATTCAGGGCTATTTTTTGATACCTAAGCGCGCATTGTAGCATAAACCAGTGTCGAGAAAAACTCGTTCAAAGCTAGACTACGCGATGCCCCGGTCGTCATTATAAAAGGATGACGAGAAAAATGCGTTTAAAGTTAGACTACGCGATGCTCCGTCTTTGTTATCAAAAAATAGCTGAAATTCAGGGCTATTTTTTGATACCTAAACGCGCATTGATGATAATGGAAAGCCCACCTTCTTCCATCCAAATTGGTGCCCGAATTGAGATTGAACTTCTCTTTTGCCAGTTATCGGGATCCGAGATTAATGGATCCCAATAAATCTGCAACGGTCCTACAAATGAGGACACACAAGTCTCCTCGTTTGTTGTAAGATTCGTAGCGTTGGGTTGAAGATTGCTTGAATAATATACCGTATATTCTATAGTAGTACCCCACTCCCCTCTCGTACAGTCGCGTAGTCGCAAAAGTTTTTTAGTATTTCGTTGTTTTTCAAAGCGCCCGTACTTTCAAAAAATGCGTCTTTGGCATCAAAAAATAGCTGAAAATCAGGGCTATTTTTTGATACCTAAACGAACATTGTAGCATAAACCAGTGTCGAGAAAAACTCGTTCAAAGCTAGACTACGCAACACTCCGCACCGTGATTATGGGGCTGCGGTACTATTACAGTACTTACGGTAGCTTTTATTTAGCAAGCTGGATTTAGATCTCGAAATCTTAAACTTGAGATATTCAGCTATTGTTTTAAAAAGTTTTCTTTAGATTACCCGATTTCCAATTCTATAATGTCACCTGGGGCATGACGTCGAATGAGTACACGGCTGGGATGTGGGATCAATTGGAAGTCACGTTTCGGTAGGAAAGACAAAATTATTTGTAAACTTTTAAGAGAATCGAAATAATAAGAAGATTGAAAGCTTATTGTAGCCAAGGATAGTGTCGATTCAGCAAGACCTTGTCTGAGCCAGGCCTGGGTTAGGACTAGCTTTGAGCCGGATTAAGGGACAGATCAACTCAGACTGATTCAAAGTCAGATCAAAGTTAGATCATTTTAAACCTGAATTTTGCTCGGAAATTTTGCGTAGAATGCGATGCACTAGCTCTCATCATTTCAATCATTTAATTCTAAGCACTGGTTAATGCTAAAAATCTGTGTTATATCACAAAAAATCGCCAATTTTCTCTACTCTAATTTGATACCTAAGTGCGCAGAAAGAAACGTACTCGTGTCGAGAAATGAGCGTTTATTTGAGTGTAAACTTCGACTACGCAGCGCTCCTGTGGCTTTTATTAAAGTGTTTATAGTAGTGTCTTGGGCAACTGGTCCTTAAGCATTGAAAACGATTGATTGAAAACGATTTACCCATCTATTACACTATGATACTATTTCCACTTTAAAGTATTTCAAATCAGTACCTTTTCATTTTGCAGCTTTAAACGACTTTATGGGTATTATGTGCTTCAAATGTATCTCCCAACATATCTCTCCGTGTTCATCTCGTGGATCGCTTTCTGGGTCGACACAAGGGTTAAAATATCGACCCTAATAAAGACATCTTTTCATTTTCAGGCCCTCCCCGCTCGAATCACTCTCGGTGTGAGCTCATTGATGGCATTGACATTCCAGGTAAACTTGAAAGTTTTTGATTTGAGCAAGGATTTACCAAAACTGACTAGGCAAGTCTGTAGCTAAATTTGAGTTGACTTGGCTCAACTCTAAAGCTAAACCAGCACTGCCAATGAGAGCTAGAAACTAAATAAGCTAAATAAAACTCAAATATCCAATAAAACTTTCAACTTGTCAAGGAAACAACTCCATTTTCTCCTTTTTCAGTTTGGTAACATTGTGAAGAATCTCCCGCGTGTCTCCTTTGTGAAAGCGATCGATTTGTGGTTTTTCGTGTGCGTGGCGTTTATTTTCTTTTCGCTGGTCGAGTTAGCTGTGGTTGGATTCGTCGACAAGTGAGTGGCAATCATGGAAATCAAAAAAAATCAAATAAAATCAAACAAAACAAGCCCTATAGCAATAACATAGCAATAACATACTTAAAAATCGTTTGAGTAAAGTTAGCGAGCTAAAAATTTGGACACTTCATGTGAAAATGTATGGAAAATCTGGAAATCAACACCGAAATCCACACCGTTTAGCTGGATTTTCAAAAGTTTCTCTCAAAATTACCCATTTTAAGGAAAAGACTTTCAGCCATCTCTCAAAATTGCCCAATTTCAGAGAGTCTCATTCGATCTGAAAGCAGTCAAATCAAGCGAATATTCTTGGAAATATTGGGTTGGGGAGAATGAGTCGGCGCCGAAAATCAAAAAAATGTCTAAAACTTCAATTCGACTTCGTCAAATAATATGCGTTTGATATGAGTAGAATGGTTAACTAATTCTCTACAAAATCACATTTAAAAGAAAATTCAAACAGCGCCTCCGCTCAAGAAAAAGCCATTTTTTCACAAAAACTACAAACTGCTATCTAGAAAAAACCATTGGTGGGATCTTCCTGCAAATTTGGCAACTTAAGTAATTGAATGCGCTCTATCTTTTTTATATAAACACCAAAAAAGGTTTATGTGAAAGAAACTGTTCAAATGATGAGTCGGACTCTTTGCCATTTTAACCAGCTGCGTTTGGAAGTTCATAAACTCCACGAAAGAAAAGCTTTGTGGAATCTCTCAAAAGTGATTTTGTAGAGAAATAGTGGATCCTTTTGATGAAACCAAACGTATGTTTAAAGAAGGCTTTATGTGTGCAAAAAGTCCCTTTAAAGTTTGGCGCCGAGTCATTCTCCCCAACCCAATAGATTCTAAGTATTTCTTCTTTAGCTATCCTCATTATCTAACTGTTTCGAGTTTTCAGTATTGTTAGATTGAATCTTTTACTCAAGCATTATCAAGTTACTCAAGGTATCTTTGAGCTTTGTACTTTTGTATCATCGGAAATCGGTTGAACATAGCTTTTTTACATTATTTATATCATTCTTTTATATTTAAAACTGTTTTGAAACAGCTTAGCTAATATTAATTGTCAAAAAGCTGATGAAAATCATTTAAAAGATTAAGAAAACTGATTTGGTTTAACTTGGCCATTGAAAAGAGCTTTAACCATTGAAAAAAGCCTTTTAAATAAAATAATAAATTTTCCTCTCCTTAGCCATCACAACCCCTCCACATTTCTGAGGCAGAGTGTGTTGTCGTAGCCGATGTCTCCGTGGCCGGGCTGGGGCCTCGGAGGGGAACCCATGGGAGTCGAACCCACGACTCCCGCGCCGACGTTCTCAACTTGGCAGATCGGACGGGGTCGACCACAGACCCTTCCCTTTCTGGGCCCCAAAGCCTTTTTATCTAGTTGAAAAGCTCTATAATAGTCCTTTTTCAAAAAAACTGCCGCTTTAACATCCAGAAATCACTGTAAACAATTTAAAAGCTGCAAAAAGACCAAGATTTAACAAGAACCAAGAAACAAGACTTTTTTTCTAGTAGAAGAACTAGAGAGCAAGTCTTGCCCCGCCGGGACCCGAACCCTTTGCTTACAAAGCAACTGTGCTAACCATTACACCACGACGTAATCGGTCCTCTTGACTCCAGAGGGAGTTAACTAAGAGATAAAAACTCAAAGATGATTTGCGTGTCGAGTAACTCGAAATCTCAGCTTTAAGAGACGATATAACAGTGCTGAAAATTCCAATTGGTTAGATAATGAGGTAGATAAGTACAGAAGAAATACTCGAGATTTGTTTCCCGAAAAATTAAGCTCAAAAATTGGGCTGCTTTCGGATGGAGTCTCTGGAATGAGGCGTTTTAATTGTGGCTGTATTTATGGCTTGGGAAAAGTTCATAAATCATTGATGTGTACTAATTTTAAACAAAAAAAAATCAAAAATTTATTAACTAAATAACTAAATCTCTTTCTAAACAGTTAAATATGAAAAAAAGCAATTTTTTTTTGCATTTTTAGAATCACTGAAATTCGAATACGTGCTCAACGAATGCAGCGTTACAAAGCGGCTCGTGGGATTTCCGCTTGTAAAAAGTGAGTTTTTAAATTGAAATTTCAAAAGATTAGATAAAATATAGTTAGAATAAGATCCAGCTTAAATATAGATACCGTAAATACTGTAATAGTACCCCACCGCCCTCGTACAGTCGCGTAGTCGCAGTTTTTAGTATTTCATTTTTTTTCAAAGCGCCCGTACTTTCAAAAAATGCGTCTTTGGTATCAAAAAATAGCTGAAATTCAGGGCTATTTTTTGATACCTAAACGCGCATTGTAGCATAAACCAGTGTCGAGAAAAACTCGTTCAAAGCTAGACTACGCGATGCCCCGGTCGTCATTATAAGGATGCGAGAAAATGCGTTTAAGTTGCTCGCGTGTTTGTTTCAAAAAATAGCTGATTCGGGCTTTTTTGATACCTAAACGCGCATTGTAGCATAAACCAGTGTCGAGAAAAACTCGTTCAAAGCTAGACTACGCGATGCCCCGGTCGTCATTATAAAATTTCAGTTTTTTCAATCAGAAATTCCAGGAACTGAAATCTCAGGGTTTAAAACTTGAGGATTACTCTAAAGTTACTATGGATTACTGTAGCAATTGTAGTGAGACAGAGCTACTGTAGCTATAAGTTCAGATACTATTTCCTGCTACAATGTTCGTTTAGGTATCAAAAAATAGCCCTGAATTTCAGCTATTTTTTGATACCTAAACGCGCATTGTAGCATAAACCAGTGTCGAGAAAAACTCGTTCAAAGCTAGACTACGCGATGCCCCGGTCGTCATTATAAAAGGATGACGAGAAAAATGCGTTTAAAGTTAGACTACGCGATGCTCGGTCTTTGTTATCAAAAAATAGCTGAAATTCAGGGCTATTTTTTGATACCTAAACGCCCATTGTAGCATAAACCAGTGTCGAGAAAAACTCGTTCAAAGCTAGACTACGCAACACTCCACACCGTCATTTTAGAGCTGGGGTACTATTACAGTATTTACGGTAGGTTTTTATCGAAAAATATCATAATTTTTTACGATTTCTCTCAAAAAAACAGGCGACGTTTCTGCGTTTTTGCGGATAAAAGGCAAATTTTTTCTGAATTTCTGAATTTTTTTTTTACTTTGCACTAATAATGCTTTGTTTTTTCAAGAAATCTATGCAAATTTGTGGTGTCTTAAGGGTTAAATGTAAAGCTAAATGCTAATTTTTTTCTTTTCTAAAGACTACGCACGGATGACGTGCGCATCCCGATCGCTCCAGTGCATCGAAGGTCTGAAAAATTGTTGTGATTGTGGGAAATTTTTGAAATCAAACATTCTAGATTATTAGATTTTGATGGAAAATAGGGTTTTTTTCTCATTTTTCCTTTTTTCTTATGTAAAAATCCTGTAGAACGAGTCAATTTCTGAGGCCTGCCTCGGCGGCGCGCAACTCGTTGGGAAGTAGTGCGTCGATGTGAGTTTAGAGATGGGAATCCGTTTTTTTGACTTCTGAACTTTCTAGTCTAACTTTCTTGTTTTTCTTGTCTTTCTTGTCTTTCTAGTATTTTCAAAAACCTTTCTAAACCTTGATTTTTGTAGATTTAAATAGATATAATCGATCGGCTTTTATCAATGGCCAATTCGATCGATCTTAAAGTTTAAGATCGACTCTTTTGAGTCCCAAGACAAGACGCTGACCCCAAGACTCCCCAAAAATCGGCTTTGTCCTAAATAGCAAGCGAAACTCTTATAAATGTTCACGGTTGTTCTAAGGCAATTTTTCTAGATCAGATTTCTTGAGCTTGCCTTCTATTCTACCGTGGATTGACGTGGATTTACTGGAGAGATTTGACGAGGAAGTTCCTGTACCAGCTATCAACTTTCCTGTCTTTCTTCTCTTTCTAGTATTTTCAAAAACCTTTCTAAACCTTGATTTTTGTAGATTTAAATAGATATAATCGATCGATTTTTATCAATGGCCAATTCGATCAATCTTAAAGTTTAGGATCGACTCTTTTGAGTCCCAAGACAAGACGCTGACCCCAAGACTCCCCAAAAATCGGCTTCGTCCTAAATAGCAAGCGAAACTCTTATAAATGTTCACGGTTGTTCTAAGGCTATTTTTCTAGATCAGATTTCTTGAGCTTGCCTTCTATTCTACCGTGTATTGAGAGATTTGATGAGATTTGATGAGATTTGAGAGATTTGACCATCAGAATGTTCCTGTACCAGCTATCAGTTTCAAAAAGCCTTGTCCCACTTTTTTCTTGTATTTCTATTTAAAAATAACCAATCCAGCAATTGGCTCGAAATAGAAAATGCTTATTATTCACTTTTCTTTTCAATTTTCAAGCCGATTTGGGGTTTTTTTCAAGTAAATTCGAATGTAAAAAAACGAATTTTTACACAAAATTCCATAAAACTGGCTACAAAGAAACTGGCTGAAGAGATTATCCTGAAAGTTTGCCAAATATACCTAACTTTTTGTGCTCTATCTTTTATCTTTTGGCACAAATATCGCTTTCTGTGGACCAAAGTGCCAAAATTGCCAAAATTGCCTTAATTGCGTCTTCGGGTTGTAGTCTTTTCTTGACTATGCGACTTTGCGTTCCCATAAAAAACCAGAGAAAAAAGATGTTCATAAAATTTAAACGCTTTTTTTTGTAGGAAAATAGTAGGCCTTTCTAATAGAGCAAATCGTAGGTCAATCGGTGAATTCGTTATTTTTAAACAGAAGTACAAAGAAAAGGTGGACAAGACTTTCCGGCCAAACTATTGGGTTGGTGGAAAAGTCCTTTCGGATTTTTTTGGGAGAGTACCTTAAATTTGTCGAATTTGGACGTTTAGCTCATCCTAAAGCTTTAGCTTATAGCTCATCCTAAAGCTGAATTCAAGACGGATCGATTGGTAAAAACCGTTTTGAGATATCTCTTTTCTAAAAGCTTTTACAGTTATTTTAGTAAAGGGCGGCAGAGCCAAAAAATGGCTGTTTTCACGTTTCGTTAGTTTTCCGTGCAGAAACCTAGGCTAAAAACGTGTGTGATTCTGATTCTGAAAAGAATATTTTGAAAAAAAAAAAAAAAAAAAAAAAAAAAAAAAAAAAAAAAAAAAAAAAAAAAAAAAAAAAAAAAACCCCCTAAAAACCTATTAAAAAAAAAAAAAAAAAAAAAAGGAAAAATTTTTTTTTGGGTTTTTTTTGCTAAGATTCTGAAAATTTGTGTCTAGGGGTTATTTTTGACGCTGATCACGAAACACATGTTTTTAGCCTAGGTTTCTGCACGGAAAACTAACGAAACGTGAAAACAGCCATTTTTTGGCTCTGCCGCCCTTAACTAAAATAGCTGTAAAAACTTTTAGAAAAGAGATATCTCAAAACGGTTTTTACCAATCGATCCGTCTTGAATTCAGCTTTAGGATGAGCTATAAAACATCCAAATTGGACAAATTTAAGGTACTCTCCCAAAAAATCCGAAAGGACTTTTCCACCAACCCAATATAATAACTAGAAGTCAACCAAACTATAATAACTAGAGGCCAAACTATAATAACTAGAAGTCAAGTCGGACTTTCACCTGTTTTTTAGTCCCTAAAATCCAGTTGACGAATCTTTAGTCTAGTTTATTCAAACTAAGCCAGCTTTAAAAGTGTATTTATTCAAGACAAATAATGAATTACAACAAAAAGAGAGGAAATTTTTACCCCTAATTACCCCTATTACCCAAATGTTATTAAGAAAAAAACCCATCATAATGGGAAAAAGAACCAATCTTTCTAGCCGCCGGGATCGAACCCTTAACCCCCGATTAACAGACAAGACAAGACAAAGCTACGACTTTTTTTTTTCTACGACAATTCATTCCCACCACCTTTGCAGGACTACGACGTCTTTAGTTGAAAATCTTCTATCATTATTTGTCATCATTCTACTCTGTAGTTCTACTTGTGTAGCTTATAACTCTACCTGTTTCTTCGTCTATTATTACTTGTCTATTATTACTTGCTTCCAAGTACGATCTATTCCCATTAGCGCAAGAATTTCTCGAATAGATTTCCTTTCTTAAACTCTTAATGCGTAGCACTGGATGAGAATCGTAAACGTTAAAATTCAATTCATTCCCACCACCTTTGCAGGACCTCAACCACGTGTCCACTCGCCAAGCAGGATTCCTCGATTCGTTTCAGTCATCTCAACAATAATGATGAGGAATGGAAATGCACAATAAAGTAAGAATATCAGAAAATTCTCTAGATTTATCTAGATAACAATTTTATTCTTTAAAAAAGTCTCTTTTCAAGTAATTTCTACGCCAGTGGTGGCCGATTGTCGATGGCCCGGATGTCGACACAATAGTAAAAATTTACCTTGTCTTTTCTTGTCTACTTTGTGCTCAAAACGTAAGCCTACTAGCGCACTGAATTCTAGTTTTTTATGGAAAAACAATTAGGAACTCAGTGCGCTGGATTGCGTGCGTTTAGCCAAGCACAAAGTACATCAAGAAGTTTAGCCTGTAAATCTGTATAGATTGTTTATTTCTCTTGGAATGTTGAACGGATTCCGATTTCTGTAGTGCACAAGAAACATTAGATTGAACGTTTTATAAAAAGTACTCTTCTAAGAAGTTACCGTACTCCGACTGTAGAAGTTACACAATCAGAGACCAATCTTTTCAAGAGTTTTAACTTACGAAAAGGAATCTCAGCCGAAAGCCGATCCGGGCCCGTCCGGGCCAGTCTAGGCCGATCTGGGTCGGTCTAGGCCGATCTGGGTTAGTCTAGGCCGATCTGGGTCGGTCTAGGCCGATCTGGGTTAGTCTAGGCCGATCTGGGTCGGTCTAGGCCGATCTGGGTCGGTCTAGGCCGATCTGGGCCGGTCTGGACCGATCTGGGCCGGTCTGGGCCGATCTGAGTGAAAGGCTAGAGCATATTTGTTTGGCCGGACATATTTGGTCTAACCTAAAGATGTTCCAAAGCCAGCCTCAGGCTAAACCCCGACTTTTAACTGACTCACTCCAGAACGTTGTTTCTTTCAAAGCTACGATAGTCTTTGATTAACTTTGCCTAATCTTTGACGCCAAATCCCCTCGTTCATAGCCCTCGTTTCCCCACCCTTATCTCGAGCGCAGGTGGTTCAGTGGTAGAATGCTCGCCTGCCACGCGGGCGACCCGGGTTCGATTCCCGGCCTGCGCAAATTGTTTTGCATTTTTATCTTAATTCAATTTGCATTCTAGATTTCATTCACCATACTGTAATACTTTCTGCTGACTGTTCGTTTTAAACTTTAGCCAGATAAAATAGTAAATCTTTCGCTTGGAGTAGAGACGATTCTGTTTGATAATTCTTTCTCGAAATTTGCCTTAATTTCGAAAACCAACGAGCCACGGTAACTTTAGCTTGAGTTTATCTTTTAGGAAACGGTTTTATATAAAATTTCCCAGAATCCGAATCCGAATCTCGAATCTTTTGCTCTAGAAAGCTCTAGAAAGCTCTAGAAAGCTCTAGAAAGCTCTAGAAACCTCTAGAAACCTCTAGAAACCTCTAGAAAGCTCTAGAAAGATCTAGAAAGCTCTAGAAAGCTCTAGAAAGCTCTAGAAAGATCTAGAAAGCTCTAGAAACCTCTAGAAAGCTCTAGAAAGCTCTAAAAAGATCTAGAAAGCTCTAGAAAGCTCTAGAAACCTCTAGAAAGCTCTAGAAAGATCTAGAAAGCTCTAGAAAGATCTAGAAAGCTCTAGAAACCTCTAGAAAGCTCTAGAAAGCTCTAGAAAGATCTAGTAAGCTCTAGAAAGCTTTAGAAAGCTCTAGCTCTAGAAAGCTTTCAAAGTATTTTCCAGTTACTGTGATACAATTACTCCATTTCCATTGGATATTAAAGATTTTAGGCTTTTCCTATAGTTTAAGGCAGTTTTTTCCTATATTTGGAGGCTCTTTGCATGTAAAACCCCCGGATTTTCCTCAGAGTACTGTAGAAAAAGTGTCAATTAGAATTTCCGCATGTTTCTAGGCTCTGTAGATTTCATCGTAGCCGATTTTCAATGCAAATTTCTAGTGGCGACTCGGAGCGCAGCGGCTCCCTCGGCACACTCGGCTACCCGATGATCGGCAGAAATCAGGTGAATTTTTGAAAAACCAATTGGTAATAAGATCTTTTCACTCAGCTACAGTATGCCGCTCGAATAGTACAAGAAATTTTATGCAAATTATCATAAAAGCAAAAAGAAAGGCGGCTACCGGGGTCGAACTCTACCGGGGCTGACCTTATGAGATTCTATGAGCCGCTTTAGCCACTTGGCCACAAGAACAGATGTTCTAAGGCCTTAAAAACTATTAAGCTAATGTTTTTAAGGAAGATTACAATCGCGAGATGATGTCAACGGTAAAATATCGATTTTTCAATCAAATTAGTTCAAGAAATTTCCGATTTTTTTAGTTTTTAAAGATTTTTACGAGCTAAATTGACTTTTTATGCAAATTTCTCGTTTTCAGACAGCTTCCGATGTGGGCGCCAGGGTGGATGCGATTGCGGCGAAGACTTTCCCAGCTTTGTTCGCATTTTTCAATGGTGAGTGAACTTGGAGTAAAATTGAGAGCAGTTTTACTGTAGGATTGGCTTACTGCAAGGCTACAGTACCCCTCGTAAAGAAGGATACTGTAGTGTGAAACACCTTCAGTCAGGGAGTGACTGACTTTTTAAAAGGCGCGCCCCGGAGAAATTCGGTCTGGCCCTGAAAGTGAAGGATATTCTAGCAGTACACCAATGTTTTCTAAAAGCTCTTTTCTAAAAGATGCCCCTTCCCAGACAAAATGCTCCACTCTACCCGTTTTTTAGGTTTAAGCCAATCAGCCTTGACTTAGCTCTGGATCTGAGAGAAAGTCTAGAAGTCTAGAAGTCTAGAAGCCTAGAAGTCTAGAAGCCTAGAAGTCTAGAGGTCTAGAAGTCTAGAAGTCTAGAAGCCTAGAAGTCTAGAGGTCTAGAAGTCTAGAAGGTTTGGTATAAATATTCGTGGTCCGATTACCCCTGAGTAGAAGTTTTCAGCAAGAAAGGCCAACGTTTGCACAAAGGGGATTCGAACCCTTGTCCACCCGCGCGCTCGCTCGACAATTCTCTTAACTCCTCAACCATAAAAAGCGTGACGGACAGACGGACAAACGGACAGACGGACAGACAGACGGACAGACGGACAAACGTACAGACAGACGGACGCGTTCCACTTTTATATATATATAGATAGGATTGAAAGCTTACACGAAAGTACAAAGAGTTTCAAAAGGATTTCCCCATTTTCAGTTCTCTACTGGTGGTACTACTTGAGTCGGGAGCGATCGTAGCCCAGAGAAAAACAAATCAAATGCAAAATTTATTTATACCGAATTTTTCCAAGCCCACATTCTCACCAAATGTTTCTCCAATTTCTCCAATACGGGTTTTTTTTTTAAAGTATGTTACCGATTTTCTCTATCTTCCCCCCGCATGTCCTTTTCTCAATTCCCATTTGCTCACCCGCTGAAATTTCACTCATTTTTTTTTAATTTTTCGAAAATTTTCTTATTCTTTTTCTTTTTTTTTAGTCAAATCTTTTCAAGTATGGGTCGATTTTTATGAAAAATTTAATTGTGAAATGATAAAAATTCTATTTTCTTTAAAAATGACTGCCATCTGGACATCTACGACACGTTGTACGAATTTCTACAAGAACATAAGAACTTCTAGTGTTCAGCTAATGTTAAAAATGTTTATGTGAAAGAATCAGCTGCATTACGGACATGTGCAAGATTGAAAAATTCGGTTCTGGGGATAAATCCTCGAAGACAAAGGGATCATTAAGCAATCCAGTTGGATAATGCCAAGTTGATCGAAATTTTTCAAACCAACAAGCTTTCTTCCCGCGAAATATTAAGAGTTATTGGTAAAAGAGTTATTAGTTTAAAACAATACTCTGACATTTTCAATAAACTTCGGTTTAAATCGAAATTAGGGACTTGGATCCATGACTTACATGATCACCTGTCTTAACAAACACCCAGAAATGCAATGCGTTTCAATTTGCGGCCGCTCATCTATGATTTCAAACAGCGTAAATCGTTTTTACTCCGGATTGTGACAAGGGATAAAAATGGATTCTAGCGGATTTTTTGGCTGTTACATAAAACTGATAAAGTCAAGAACACTTTTCCAAAAACAATCAAATAGGGTGAGAGCTTTTCTATTATCTCGAAAGGCAACTTTTGCTGCGACTGCCACCTGGACATCTACGACACGTTTTACGAATTTCTACAAGGACATAAGAACTTCTAGTGTTCGGCTAATGTTAAAAATGTTTATGTGAAAGAATCAGCTGCAAAAATATAAATTTAATGTAAAATCACTGAGAAAGAACTGATTTTTTTATAATATAATTTATTTGAAAGTAAAAGTCAGAAAAAAATCGCTTAAGCAACACAAAACTCGGAATGATTTAAATGGAATTTCAATAAAAAATCAAGAAAAAAAAAATTGGAATAAATTGGAATAAATTGGACTAAAACAATTGGACTAAACATTTCTTTCCTTGGATTCAATCGAATGTTTTCTTTGCACTCGGCAGGAAAAGGTGAAGTCGAATTCTCTGTAAAAAAGAATCTTTTCAAATCAAGTCCAATAGTAAATAGTTCAAGAGAGTCCAATAGTCTCGAAACCTTTAAATTATCTGTAGATGAGCTTGATCTTGATCTTGACTTTGATCTCGAAGCTCTAGTGGATCCTTGACGCTATCTGTGCTACCCATATATTAAAACTCTTGGTCAACAAACAGATCCTCTTTAACCCGGAAAAAAATCTAGTTTGAATCGCAGTTAACATCATTTTTCTTCTTCAAAATTCTTCCTACATACAAGTTTTTTCAGTTAGAAAACAGCTAAAAAAAATTTAAAAATGCAAGCGTACTGGAAGCTGGTCGAATTGCGCTCATTTGACGGTCTAGAAAATGGGCTGCAAAACTCCAATCAAAGATCTTCTAATACAGAAATTTAGGCAAGAATTCAGACTTCAATTCTCTATATAACACTTAGGGTTTTTGAATTGATTGCGGCGTTTGGCATGCAATCTGCTGAAAGGTAACCGTTTGGCAATGCAATCTGCTGCCGTAACTCTGGCGCACCTTGTAGAAAGACCTGCCAAAAACTTATCAACATTGAGAAAGTGATTTTTTGCATTTTTTGAATATTTATTAAAACTCTAATTAAACTCTAATAGTGATTGTAGACGATCGATACCAGCACACCTTTCACGCGACTCCCTTCAGTCCCTCGCATGGCCTTTTTGAAGGTTTTGGTGGTTGGGTCGGGCACTCTCTTCGATTCTTCTTGCAGCACAACTTCTGTGCCACTTCTGCTAGACTTGAGCAGATACCCAATGATCGAAGCTGAAATAACTTCTAACAATTCGAACAATTCTAGCTAACAATCAACAGAAGCGAAGCTGAAATTTCCTATTTTCAGCCCAGCTACATAACTTTACACTATTATTAGGTCAAAAATCTGAAAAAAAAACATACAAACAGTAGAAATTTGTGATCTAACCATGCACAAGACTTTAAACACTTCTATATTTACGTTAATTTAATATCTAATTAATTCTATTTTGAAAAAAAAAACTAATTAATTCTATTTTGAAAAGGATATGTTCAACTTTTAGTTGAAATTTTGACTTTGATTCTTTTAAAATGTTGTAAATATCTTCTTTTTAAAAGATTTTTTTGTTTTTTTTAGAATATATAATAAATTTTGTTCTAGATCTTTGTTTCAAGCGTTTTTTTTAATGGTCAGAGTTTCCCAGAGGTCAGAGGGCAGAGTGACTCACTCTTTCTTCTTTTTAGACCAAGCTCTAACGTGTCTCCACACGATTCAATCTCTTTCAGATAAGCGAGAAAGGGAAAAAAAAACCCCTTTCTGTCCCTTACTCCCCCATTCCCAACAATGCCGATCACTCAAAAACACAATTCCAAAAGAAAAACTTCATCTAAAAACTATGGGAAAAAATTCAAGTACTCCCTGTTGCCTGTCGAACTTCAAAATGCGATTTTCTCCCACATTGAGACCGAGGAATCGCTGAATTTGGTGCAGACGAACAAGCGTTTTCGAAAATATTTCCTCGACAATGGTCCATTTCCAAAACGAATCCAACAGGTGTGTTTTTCATTTGGTCACAGATCTAATTTCTGATTTTTTCAAGCAACTTCAATTATATAGGTTCCCACCGATTACTCGGATTAAGCTCTTAAACTTATCCGATTTGATCCTGTAATAGCTCATTCGAAAGCTAATCTTCTAGAGAATTGAATGGAGAAAACCGTTTATCGATTCATCAATTTTCAACGTTTTTGCAGCCGTTTTGCTCAGGGTGTCTTTGACCCCAGATTTCAAAAGAATAAACTTTCTTTGTTTTTTGTATGAAAACTTGTGCTGAAACCATGTTTTTCGGAATCAGCGTTAAAAATTACCCTAAAATCCAATAAAATTGTTTTATTAGGAAATTTTTTTTAGAAAAACGGACTTGACCCGGAATCGAACCCTCGACCCTTGGATTACCATACAATTTTTGTTTTTTCGATGTTTTTCGCGCCGATCTGCCTCCCTAAAACAAAACAGTAACAAATTTTAGCAAAAAAAGTAAGAAAAAACACGAACATTTTCAAAAGCATCGAAAAAACAAAAATTGTATGGTAATCCAAGGGTCAAGGGTTCGATTCCGGGTCAAGTCAGTTTTTCTAAAAAAAATTTCCTAATAAAACAATTTTATTGGATTTTAGGGTAATTTTTAATGCTGATTCCGAAAAACATCGTTTCAGCACAAGTTTTCATACAAAAAACAAAGAAAGTTTATTCTTTTGAAATCTGGGGTCAACCCTGAGCAAAACGGCTGCAAAAACGTTGAAAATTCGACAATCGACAAACGGTTTTCTCCATTCAATCCTCTAGAAAATTAGCTTTTAAATGAGCTATTACAGGAAAAAATCCGATAAGTTTAACATCCTATTCCAAGAAATCGGCGGCGACTTTCTCTCCAACCAAATACACCCATGCACAAAAAAAATGTCACATCGTTTTTACAAAACTTTACGCCTAAATTTGACCTACTAAACGTGTTCCAAATTCTATGCTGTCAAAAGGTTTTAGATAGCAAAAAGCTTCTACTTTCTTGTGAAAAAGTGTTAAAGTTCTAGCAATTTGTTTAAATTTTTATTTTTCAATAAATACCGGAAGAACACCAAAAAAGGGTGCACAAAAAAAATGTCACATTTAACTTGAATCTGCTTTTTCCGTTTTCTTTTTTTGTTGCATCTTTTATGCTAATTTTTTTAATTTTAGAATGGTAAAATCACAGCTCTCAACGCCAGACAAAGAAAAGATTGTTGAAGCAAGGAAACAAGGAATCCCGCGGAAACAGGTGGCCGAGCTGTTCAAATGTGATGTAAGAACCGTTTCTCATTGCTGCGAAGTCGAGAACGACTGGAAATTTGCACAGGACACCAGGAAGTGGACGGCCACCAGCCACTACACCACGCGAAGACAAGGCTTTGATTTTGGCGCACAATAAGGACCCGAATCTTAACGCGTCGGATGGTGTTTGCCTCATCAAGCAACAATTCGGCAAGGATATCAATCGAATGACAGTGAGCCGACGCTTGAATCGAGCAGGATTGATAACTAGAAGGGCCGCCAAGAAACCTCTGATGGTTGCCAAGCACAGGAAGATCCGACTCGAGTTCGCAAAAAAGTACCAAAGTTGGACGCCGAATGACTGGGCCAATGTCATTTTCACCGATGAGTCGAAGATCAATCTCTTCAACCCTAATGGCAATCACTTGATCCGGAGACCAATTGGACAACGCCATAACATCAAATACTTGCGGCCGACAGTCAAATTTGGTGGCGGTCGATTATGCTATGGGGTAAAAGACTTGTTCCCTTATGTCAACTAATCTTGCTTTTTTCAGGAACGATGACTAGAAGTTCACCAGGTCCGCTCGTCTTTCTCAACTCAACCTTGAAGGCCCAGCGGTACAAGACGATCCTGGAGAATGATCTTCTTCCATTTGCGACCACGAATATGGGACAAGGATGGTTTTTACCAGGATAACGCTCCGTGTCACAAGCACCAGATGTTGATAGGAAGGGTCGGCCGACTTTCAAACGGTGGAAGGGCTCGTTTACCGGGATGGTTCGCTGACAATCGTGTCAAGCTCGTCCTGCTCCCCTTACAGCCCGGATGTCACGTAATCGAGCATTTGTGGTCGCACTCAAGGGTAAACTGAAGGGCAAACGATTTGCGACCAAGGTTGAGCTTT